AGCAAAATAACCACAAAAAAACAACAAGTTTCTACGAGTAACTACGAGTTTCAAAACTAGGATTGACAATTTGATATACACCATACTGCATATTTGTTTTATTGTAGAGGGATTCATATAACACAGAAGCTGAGTCTTCTTATATGGAATACCTCAGTCAAGGTGTTCAGAACATCCAATTTAATGGAACTGTCTCAATTTAGTTGAAAGCAAATAATTACTCAGATTGGGATAATGTGAAATAATTAGACGGAATCACATATTCTACACCAGCAGTAAATTTGGATGCTGTTTTCAGCTACCTTTTGTTACTTTCAGCTACTGGTTCAGATTTAATTCTGTAAACATTAATGGATGTTACTTCCAGAAACAGAACATATTAGAAATTAATTTAAAAAAAAGATTATCATAAATGAATCCCCTGGCCTACTAATTGTCAGTGATCTCTCTAGTCTGGGCTAAATAGACCTTATTTTCATCAACTTACATTTAACTCAGACTACCTTAAATCTGGCAAGTTATCTGGTTAAGCAAGTAATCCTGCTTCGTGAAACAGGCCCCATTTTTCAGAAAGTATCCCTGTTGATAAGTGACGCTTGACCGTATAATGGATAAGGATGTCACCTCAAGGATAAAAGTGTGCCGGCTGAATTCACCCACCCAAAAAAGAAAAGATGGTTATACATTCATTTTGCTTATTAGTGGGCATCCTAAAAATCCAAGGAAATCACACCCACTATTCACTACACGCTCAAGAACTTTTATGAAAATATCACCCTGTCACGTCATGTAAAGACATTTCCACAATAATTTGTGTGTAACACATGAGCTATGAAATTCACACATTTTTATTTGCACAATTTACATTTCTTACAAATTTACACAATTTACTCAGCTCACCACCACGACCAGAGAGTAAATACTCTGGTAAGAGTAATGGGGGGGGGTTATGCATTTATGTACACTACAACTGGTGTATTAACACAAAGACCATAGAAAGTCACTGTTCCCCTCATCTGCAATATTTAAACCATGGATGACAATGATGCTCCAAATGCTAATTAATGATGGCAACCACGCCTTCAGGTGCAGAGAGAGGGCACAGTACAACTCTGCTAGAACCAGACTGAAAAGAAGCATCATAAAAGGCAAATCAGCATACAAGAGGAAGACTGATGACCACTTCCACAACAACAATATATGGCGGGTGTGGCAAGATGTCCGGCATATCACTAACTACAAGCACAGCAAGCTCACAGCTGTCGGGGGGGATGCCTTGCTGTCCGAGGCACTTAATTGCTTCTTTGCCCGCTTTGATGTGAAAGAACCTAAGCCTCCAGTAACCACACTCTCAAAGTGCAGGAACACGAAGTGAGGTGCATGCTCAGGGCAGTAAACCCAGGAAAAGCTTGTGTAACTGGAAGGGTGCTGAAGGAATCAACTCTCCTGGGTCTTCACAATGATCTCCAACCTTTCCCTGTCTTAATCCATCATCCCACCAAGCCTGAAGTCCAAGACTATCATCCCACTGCCAAAAAGGCCTACCATCAGGAGCCTTAATGACTACCACCCCATCACACGTACGCCGGTCATTATGAAATGCTTTGAGAAGTATGCAGTTTGCATACAGAGCAAACAGATCTACAGAAGATGCCAGAGCCACAGCACATCACATGGCTCAGACCCTTCTTGAATGCCAGGGGGGGTTTGTGAGGCTGCTCTTTGAGGAGTTCAGCTCTACCTTTAATACCATCACTCCCAGCAAGCTGGCCACCAAACTAATGGTTTTATGTCTTTCTCAACCTGCCTGTGGATCAAAGCCTTTCTGACTGAACACTCTCAGAGAGAAAAGTTGGCCCCGATTTCTCTTCTACCTTGAGATTCAGCACCAGTTCCCCACAGCGGTGTGTGTTGAGCCCACTATTTTATACCCTTACACACATGACCGCACCCCTACCAACTCTAGCAACACTATCATCAAGTTCACTGATGACACAACTGTGGTGGGATTCACCTCAGGGGGGCGATGAGTCAGCATACAGGCATGAAATCCAAAGGCTGTCAGTGTGGTGCTCAAAGAATACCATAGATCTGAAGACCTTTAAAACCAAATAACTCATCATAGATTTCAGGAGGAAAAATCCAATCTAGATCCTATCAATGGAGATTGTGTCACATAGTCGACATCCTCTCCTGGAATATCCAACACCACCGCACTCCTTAAGAAGGCCCAGCAGCAACTGAATCCTCCTGAGGATCTTATGGAAGAACAACTTGGATGATAAACTGCTGGTGTCCTTCAACCGCTGTTCCATGAAGAGTGTGCTGAGCTACTGCATCTCTGTACGGTTTGCCATCCGCTCCTCAGAAGACAGGGCAGCATTCCAGAGGGTCATTTCCACCAACCAGAAAATAACTGGCTGCCCACCTCTCTCCCTTGAGGACAGTTACAGCACTCGCTGTCTCAGCAGAGCTACCAACATTCTCAGAGAGTCATCTCGCCTGGGATATCACCAGATTGAACTGTTGCCCTCTGGAAGGCACTACATGGCCAGCAAATCAAGAACAAACTGACTCAAAACAGTTTTTATCTTAGAGCCATTATCTCAATCAATTCGGTCCAACCTTGAACACTCTGTCCCTCATGTTACATGTTTATGACCTCACCTATTATTGTGGCTATGGTGGCACTTCATGAGCTCTTTGCTGTATTTTCTGAACCAAGTAGATGGTGCTCTCTGATGGAAAAAAGGGCTCAAAGCATGTCCAAAACAAACCAGGGGCGCCACCTGGATGTGGTCTGGGGTATTGCTGACGGTTCATGAGGGGACATTTTGCCCCTCACTACCTATCAGCATGTGCAATATTTTGTTAAATACACTGCAGTAATGTACAATATTTTCATGTTTATTATGAAACTGAATCACAAGGAGTGGAATACATCTATAATTTATTCTATTTCAACATATTTAAACATTTGACTTAAATCAGTTAGGCAATTAAAACATACTCATATTGTTATATTTACACTTCACTGGAGGAATACACCTACCCTATAATCTGCAGCTTCCAGTTATTTAGTAGTCTATATAGAGGCAAAATGTGCATTGAGATTAATGTACTATTTTATAGTAATAAAGTTATAATATAAAACATCGTATTTATCATATTATCTTAATTTGTCGTCTCAATGATTTATGAATTAGAAGCACTCTGGCTTCTGCGCTCTAAGGTTTTGGGTCCAGTTTCTGCCTGGGCTGTCTGTGTAGGGTTTGATGTTCCCTCTTCAGGGACTTCCTCCCACAATCCAAAGACATGCAGTACAGGTGTACTGGTACCTATAAGTTGTCCATATTGTATTACAGTATGCCACATCCTATCCAGAGTGTCCCCTACCTCAGTCCCTGTATTTCCTGGTATAGGTTCATTGCTAGGCTATACCAAATAAGTGGGAAAGGCAAATGAATTGCTGGATTATTTAAAACTATGGCATAAGTGTATATGTGTCCTATTACAGGAAACAAGGCAAAAAAAACTATTCCCCTTTAATTACTTTTACTAAAAACGTTCCACCGTAAAAATGGACTTTTGCATTTTTACATGTGACTTTTAACGTTTCGTTGCATTATTTGTTTTGATAAGGTAATATTCATGATTCACAGATGCACGTACACAGCAATAACTAAAAAGATATGAATCTACATATATGAACATGAAATCTTGCCATAGATTTTAGTATTAGTTCCTTTTAGTGCAACTGCTAAGTCTAGCATGTCAATGTAAAAACACCACGTACCCTCAATGAACATTGGCGTAGTGCCGCCTTCTAAACGGGCAAGAACATGAAGACCAACAGCAATGCAAGTCTCTGCGTGACGACCAATCGGAAACGGCCAATGGCAGGCAGGCATGGAGCTGACCAATGCGCCGCCATCAGCCATCATGTGTGACTGCACGAGATCAAAACAGCCCCCCCCCCCCCCCCCCCCC